AATCTGATTTTTCAAAGGCATAGCCACCATCTCATTTGAGCAAGTATTATCTGACCTTTTAGAGAGATCATTTAAATGTCAGTGTCTTGGGCACACTTATAATGTGCACCCAGCAAAGCCTAATTCCAAAACTATGTCAAGGCTGAAAGAAATATTGACCAAACATAACTGTTATTAAATATATTTTTCTGCTTCAGTTTTACTTCAACCTTTCCCAAATAAATGTTCCAAACTACAGTTAATCTAAATCATTACTACAGCCTTAAACTTTTGAAATTTTAAGTATCTTCTTGTTCCCTCTTAGTTATAGCAAGCAAATGTGTCAGAACAAATCGAGAGTGATTTCATATGTCATTTTGCACTAGTATTAACTTAGTCATAACTGATAATGTTGTAGCTACTGATATGTAGTGGTAACTGGGCTTCAGAAGCTCAATTAATGTCTTTTTTAAAAGGGCAAGAATCATACTATCAATTTGGGATCAGACACTTTGGTGCCTGTCTGACCTTACGTTACTAACTTTAAAATAATGGTGTCATGGATGGCCTACCTTTATGGGTGTACATCAAAAAAATAGAAAAGAAAATTCAGTATTGAATCATAGAGTCATAAAATCGTTAAGATTGGTAAAGACCTTTAAGATCATGAAGTCTAACCATTAACCTGGCTATACTAAGTCCACCACTAAACCATGTCCCTGAGCACCACATCTACACATCTTTTAAATACCTCCAGAGGTGGTGACTTAAGCACTTCCCTGGGCTGTTCATTTCTTACCTACTTCAGTCATAGTTACCAGCAGTGGTAAAACTTGCTTGTGTTTTCAGTTCTGATATTACTGCCTTCAGATTACAGCCACCTGATTTTGTTAAATGCTTGCACTGCTAAAGAAAAGAGTCTTTTAACATTGCTAACAGCCTCTTGTAGCTAACTACAAGTTATTATCTGGGGAGACAAGGTTAAGTTACCTGTAACCTTCTTGAAAGACACTGGACTCCATTTAGTGTTTCATTACTAGGCGTGATTCCAAATTACAAATAAACATTGTTGAATACTTTCCAAATTCAGCACCTATTATTTGAAAGCCAGTGCTTTGGCCATTACTGTAGATGAGAAAAAAGCAGCCTCTGAATTCCTAGTGAGTAGCTTGCTGTAGGAAAATAGGCATCTTTCAACAAAGAAGTAGTAATATAATTCTGATATGAAAATGAAACCTGGCAATGTGATGGATTGAAAGTGTGGTGAAAGTAAAAGACGTTTCAATGTGTACATCTCTATGCTTTTGTTTATCTTTAAGAATAGAAACTGGAGTGTACTAAAATGCTACATGAAAAATTCTAATTAATCAGTGGAAGTGCACAAACTTGAATATTTATCACAGCATCTCTTGAATGGAACTATGACTTTTCTGTCTCTTACCTAACACCGTTGCTATTGCACAGTGTGTTCGGAGCTTGGAGTTTAGTTTCTTGAAATACCTGTTGCTTTGTGTATTAAAAGTAATATCTCTAAATTCAATGATTAGAGAAAATATTGATACTATTGCTTTTTACAAGGATACTGTCTGGGCTTCTTAACCACAACTCCATTGTTAACCTTTCCAAATCCCTGAAGCAGAGAGCATTACTGCAGCTTTTATTAGCCATAGTTTATTTGGTTTGGGGCAAGTGAACTATCTTTTACCAAATCTAATCCAATCACCCAGAGACCTGCAGATCAGGAGAAAGCGTTTAGAGAGGTGTTTATAGAGATATGGAGCTGCTTCTGTTCTCTGGAGAGTGCTGCTGGTGTGTTGAGCCTGTCCTGTTGTGGCTTTTGACTGTCCCCAGCATCATGCCCCGTAGATGCTGAAGGTCATCATGGACCCCCAGGGTGCAAACTGTCTTCAGCAACCAGTGCTATCTGGCTCTGCAGTCTCATATATCCTTGATAGCAGTGATTCTGTCTCATGATCTCCACTTTTGAAAGCCCCAGGTGAAAAGAAGAGTATTCCCCATGACTCCTTGTCACTTATTGGAGATCAGTGGTGGGAGACAGGCTATAGACAAAGTCAGTCTGCGAAGGCAAGAGTAGCTTATCTTTGTCTGAAGGAGAGCCAGGAGCAATAAATCAATGTCCACACATATTTAACTCTAAGGACTGACTCAGGATTTGTCTTTCTCAGGTGCAATTTTGGAAGTTGAGGTATGGAAGTTCTTCTTCTTCCGTAAAAGTAGCTACCTTCAGAAAGTGATTGGTAGCCCCGTTGCTTTGCCTGCATTTTTGCTGCTTGTAGAACAGTTAATGCAATGCTTTGCTGAACTCTCATGTAGTGTTATGTTACCATGACACACGTATGAAAATAAACCCACTGTTGTCAGGGTGATAGCTACATTATTACCACTCTGGTTTTCCAGTATTCAGTTCAAAAAGATGTATTTTTTAATGTTTTTTTTTCCTGGAAGTTTTAATGTGATTTTAAATAATGAAGAAAACAGTAGCCAAGTGATCATATGCAAATTCCTGTAAACAAAGTAGCATGAATTGAATAGATAGCACTGAAAATAGATTTGTCTTTCAGGTTCTGCAAGGGACAATGATGAGAAAGGGGGAGAGGGTTTTGTGGTGATGAGAACCACTTTGATATTACTACTTGAAATAGCTGCAGGCAGAAGCCATAGAAAATAATAATCTTCAAACTGTAGAGGTTGAAATCTCTGAGAAGCCAAGAATGACTGCAGCTGCCTTGAGTGATGGTGGAACAAAGCCATATAGTTTTGAATAGTTTATGCAGATGAAATATAATCATAGTCAAAATGCACAGTCATGAGGTTTGAGATCCAAGAGGCAGGTGGTACACGTCTGTCCCTGAGTTTTGGAGGGGTTCCCTGGCATCAACCATCTCAAAGAATCGTAAACTAGAGAAACAGTTTTGATATCTACAATTAGATAATACAAGGGGACCATCACTTCAAACACAAAATTATTGCTTGTCTGCAGTCTTCTCCAGACATTCAATGGGGCAGATTGTTCCTGTTTTAAAATAGTGCCTCAGAACTGCATGCCACTTTTTATCTGGAAGTGCTAAATGGAAGCTAATGACAGAGGGGAAATGATTTCCAAGTTTTGCAACTGGCAACCGTTGCCAGAGAATCCATGAGCTTTGCAAATCCATTTTTATGTGCTTTAAATCGTGGCTTGTCAAGAGCTGGGCAACCAAATGTGTAGGAAAAAAGTAGCCCACTACTCCTGAATTATTTATGACCTGATCATAACAGTTGCAATGTCTTTTCTGTTTATAAAAACAAGGCATTAAAAAATTCACCACTAATATTTTGCTTCTGTATTCCTAGAATAAAATTACTACTTTAATCATTAATGTTTTAGAAGACCTGTCCTTTCAGTGGTCACATAGTGACACTATAGCATGATGGGGTTTCTTGTGCTAATCTTAAATACTGAGGAAATTACTGTAATTTTGCGGCCTCAATTTTGAGAGAAAGGAACATTTTACAGAAGAAGAAACAATAACAATATTGAATATTGAAATGTTTGAATATTTTTCTATAACAAATGAAAAATATAAAAATACCAGATATATTTAGTCTGGCTCTGAAAGCAACTCTGTTCCTTCTTCACTAAAGAAGAATTTTATTGGTGAATTAGCAGATTATGTGATCAATTTTATTTTTTCTGTTCCCAAGAAAATATTGAATATATGCTTATATGTATGATCCAATGCAGCATTGAGTATAGAGAGCATCAGCTGAGCAGCTACCCTTCCATTTTCCCTTTCAGTTGCCAGCTTGACAAATGTGTAGCAGATACTGAGTCAGTGTAAAATAGTGAGCCCAGGCATTGATCCATCTTTTTAAACTCCTTCATTACAAATTCTGTCATTAGAAATTAAAATCTTGGTATGCTGTCGCTTCAGTCCACTTTCCTTACCTGCCTATTCATGCTGATTATTACCTATTAACTGCATGTGTGTGTTTAGTAAACATTCTGTAATGCTGGGGTTTTTTTCCATTTTCCATAGTTTAATTTTTCCAGTTGAAAATAAGTAGAACTGCCAAAACACTAAAGAAATGGCTTCTTCATTATTTAAGTAATGATTGCCCACCACTGGTCAGACAAGTGAATTGGGATTCAAGTGACCACATGTCAATATCTACAGTTTTGACATCTGTATCTAATCTAGTCCTCCCGGGCTCCTTTTATAGACAATGGGGAGAAAAAAAGCATTTTTAGGATGCGATGTCCTCCCAAGTTAAGCTTTTGAAATAGATCGGATGGTTTGCACCTAAAAATGCTAATTTTGTTAACTGTAAATGGAAACAAGAGTGAGCTAGCTCAGATGTTTGCTTTGTAGATGTCCAAAGGTAGATGAGAGAAATCCCATCCCGGTGCTCAGATTAATCACTACTGCCCAGAGGTTTTGTGCGATGACACTTCTAATGTGAATGTGCTGTGGCTGTGGGTTTTTTGCATGTAAAGGACATAGGGACATTCTGCACAGATGAGCAAGTCCTGTTCAGCACAAACAGCAAGAGAGCAGTACAGTCATGTTAGGACTTCATTTCAAATGGGTTAGATTACCCTGCTTTTCACCTTGGCTGCGTCGTACTGGGGTATTAGCATGTCCACGTTCTTTCCAGAACACATCAGTTTGGGGAATAGCATTAATACTCTGACTATAGACATACAGAGGTGGCGTTTAATATTTCTGTTGGAAGATAAATGTAACGGCCTTGACCAGATTAGGTCTTGCCATGCAAAGCAGCATATATCATATTACAAATAATAATAATATCTATTTTGCCCCAGCAAGCTCACAGGGAGCTAGTCTATCAACAACGAATAGGGAGGAACCTGAGTGGAAAGTAGCATAATTTAGAATGGCACATGGCAAGGGTTGAAAAAGGTAATGGATGTTGAATACTGAGACATTTTTTAGGTTCTGCAGCTAATTTAGGACACTGCATTAATGGTGAATTTTCCTGTGGGTTTTTTCCCTTAGGATGATTTCCAACATGCAGCCTCAGAAACCAACTGGGAGTCAGTCACAAGCTCTGTCTCAGTAAGTATTTTCTTACTATTTTGCCCGTGGATGGATAGATAGATGACTTGAATCTAACTCACTAAAATGGCACCTGCCCAGAGGAACCATATATTCACCTTTGACAGACGATGAAATAAGTATTTGTCCAACTCATACTAGAGTCAACCAGTGTATTTTTAAGGAAAAAAAGATTCAAGATATGCCATCAGCTGTTGTAACCCCGTGAGACAGCTATTGAGAAACATTTCTTACTTTCAAACTCATCCTGCCAAGGTGAAAATAGAAGATATAAACTTACAATTTTCCATTGTATAATGTCATGACCTAGATAGAAGACTATACTTGAAACAGAGCGGCAGGAAAAGGGGTCTAGCTTTTAATTTTCAATACCGAGTGATTTTTAAAGTCTTTTTAACAAAATATTACATCCAAAGTCTCCATAATCAGCAGTGAAATGTGACTTGAAAAAAAAAAAGGGAAAATAAATAATCCAGTATAAAAATTTATTTTTCTCTTCATTGCATTTGATTTGTGCCATTGGCAAAAAAGAATCTGCCTCCTCTTTCATTTCCCAACTAATGTGAAATGCTGGGGAGTGGGAGTGTAGCATCAGAATTCATAATGCAAGCAGTTGTCTTCTGAGTGCTCTGTAGGCTGATCAGCACCATCTCACAGCTCATGCTACCTTCTCTTAAAACACATGAGATGAGGGTAAATGTTCAAAGCCGACATGGAGTTACTGTTTGGAGCATTTGTGGAAGAAGGTTTTGTGATGACACCTTTGTTATGGTAGCTCACACAAGTTGCCAGTGAAGGAGCAGTAAATAAAATATGGGTAAATTCTACTGATTAATGTCCAAACTGGCAGCAAGTGCAGAGAAAATTCTGCATGGCCGAAATTAGAAGAGGTTAAGCCAATCTCACTCGTGTTTACCCTTGACTTTGCAAACACCACTTGCCCTTCATGATAAATGCATTGATGACCTTGAACTAATTGTACTGAAAGTCGTGAGTAGTAATGTTAGCAGAGCTGAGATCTACTGGATGTACCAAGCAGAAGATGCTAAAACACTGTTTTACTGAAAGACATAAACTCTTTTTTCATTCTAACATAGGGTTGGAAAGTAATTCTGTGTGATAGAATATTTTGTTTAAAAATATGGTAGATTGATATTTGAAAATGTAAGCCTAGGGCTCCCTCATCAGGTAACTATGAATATGAGATCAAGTATATGGTAAACACCATGTTAGGTATCCTCCTTAACATCATAAGGTGCACAATATACCAATCAATAATCCGGTTGGAAAAAAAAAAAAAAGAGTTCATTTATCTTTCACATCCATTTGTTCCTGAAAAGTTAATATGTTACAGTTAGGTAAGTTCAGTACAAAAATTACAGGTAAAATTACAGGTAGCAAGGTGATGCCCAAGGTCACATGGAAACCTGAAGCTAAACCAGAAGCCAAATCCCAGCTTCCTTGTTTTTCCTATGCCATCACCTGTCTAACAAAACCTACCTGCTTCCGCTGGGCATAAACTGCACCCACTAGCCCTGTCTTATCCTCAGGGAAAATAAGGTAGAGAGGTTGAGTAGTTTTTCCCAAAAGCACCAAGGAAAATGTCTGAGGACATCCAAATTCTTCAGGATAGAAAGACTTGGAGATTCTACTGTGAATCTGAGGGGTGGAAGGACAAACTTGGGCCTGTCAGTTGTCAACAAGATAACGCTTTTGTTTTGATACACAGCATGGTGGATCTGACTTTTGTCCCTCAAATGCACAGGCAACCCTCAGACTCACTTTAAGATCTGAAGACATTACAACTCTCAGAATGAGAGTCTGAGGTCATTTCACAGTCATATTTGATGTTTGTTTTTTTTTCTCAGAAAGTTAAAACCAATACTTCTGCCCTCAACCCAGTATGGCAAATCCATTAAAAAAAAAAAAAGGGAGAAAATTTACTGTTTCACTCCCTATTAGGCTAGTTTGCTTTGTTTGTGAAGTAGTGTTTTGACCAACAAATGATGCACATTGAGCTGCCTATCAGCTTCACAATAGAGGTAGAAAAGAACAGGGGGACAGAAAGTAAGGGTAAGAACACTGACAAAAAAAATAGGCCTTTGTGTCCCATGAAACTAAAAATATCATCAGTGCTTTAAGAAATTTAGAAGAAGTACATAAGGTGAAAAATCCTTGCTCTTCATTGCCTCTTGCATTTCACTCTTCCTTTTGCCTCACTTTGGGTGCGATCTCAGAAGCCAGATTACAACGAGCACAAGCTCTTCTAAAGCTAGTGCCTCATTCTTGGCAGGACGAAAGAGAGCCAGTTGGGTTGGCAGCTTCAAAGTTGCTTTTGGGCCTGTCACATGATATCGCTGTCAGTAGGTTATCTGAGCTGTTGAAATAATTCCTGTTGACTTGGCTGTCATTGTGTGTGAACGAGGTTGCACAAATCTCGAGTGGGGAATCCCTGCTGCCTGGATGAGTTTGAAACACTCTGCAAATCCACAGCCTGTAGTTCTGTAGTGAAATGCACAGTTGAACAAGTGAAAAAAAAACCTCTTACATCATCTAAGCCACACACCTCTAGCCCGATTTTTGTGCAATATTTCTTCAGCATCCTTACACCATCTCCCTCCCTTTGGAAGAACAGTCTAATGGGGACTAATGTTCCTCCTGTTGGGCTGTTCTCACAGAAAAGCCATGGTGTCCTCAGAGCTCTCTTCAATAAGCAGGTAGCTTTTTGGGTGCATTTTTCTTTTGTAACCTCAAAGACTGTGCTAGCACAACAGGGGATGCCCACCTGCAGCATTGTTTTAGGCAGCAGCACTGTGTTCACTTTGCTGGTGTGAGCTTTTCAACTACTGGGGCTCCCATCTCTCTGCTTCAGTTTCTACTCCCAGCCACTTAGAAGTCAGGAGAGATGCTTTGAGGTATGCGTTGCCTTTTAGTGGGTCATGAATTTTTACAGCCATCTGCACAATGTCTTAGTGCTGCGTTGTAGAGGCATTGCAGTCACAAGTGTCCCTCTGAAAGTTCTTGTGCTGTTCATGATGGTGAAGTGCGACTCTGCTTTCTCGACTGCAGTATTGCAATATTTTCTATTTCCTCTCTTTATTGTTTTTAACAATTTGGACTGCCTATACTTTCAGCAAACATGCAGCAAAATATCAAGGATTGTTGCTTTGGTGATATAACACCATTAAAACCAAATTATTTATTTTAAAAGACATCTACACTTTAAAATTAGTTTAGTAGGCATGGAAGGACACAATCCTGCAAACAAGTGAGTAACTTTACTCAAATGAGTTGACCTTTCCATTACTACCCAACTGAGTGAAGTTAATCACAAAGATTAATAGTTTAATATATGCATTTACTGGGGAGATGAGGCAAAAAAATTGTTTTAGGGAGCCATTAATTTTAAATGACATATTTCTGCAACATTGCACTAGAGTTGTGTTTTCATGAGAGAATAGGATTTCTGGGCTTTTTTCCCCCAGTGTTTTAACTTATATGACCGAAATCCAAACAATCCTTGTGTTATATTATGCTTCTTGATGGACAAAATCAGGTATCTTGACTGTGGTCTTTCAGAAGGTAACAGATCTGCATTAATATTTTTTTCTTGCACATATTTTTACACATGCTGTTAGACTCTGTGCTTGGACAAGGGAAAAAGTGATATAAGGGTAGAGAATATTGTGATTCTAAATAATGGTTATAAAAAAAATGTTTAAAATCCTCTCCAGTAAGTATGAAAGTACTGCAATCTTTTTGTCAAAGTCAGGTTGTGCCACAAGTTCAGTGGGAACCAGATACACTCAGAGAATGCTATTCAGCCCTTCCTGGTGGAAAATAATATTCCGTTTGGTATTATAATATACTTGTAAGAATATCACTATGTTAATAATCCCAGTGTTGATTGTTACAGTGCTGAGATCCAAATATCACATTTTTTCTAATTTGCTTAATAACTTGTATTTTTGTTAAAAGGGTGTGAGAATTGGTATTTCATAGTAGGACTTAGGACTAAAGGGCCATCTTTTCAAGTCTTTAACCAAGCCAAATTTGTTTTCCAAATTGACCAGGGAAAGACAGACAGTCTAGTGGAGACTTGTTGCATTTGTCTTTTTCTGCTGCAGTTTCTGATCTTCTTGTTCTGGATTTACCAACAGAGGTGCTGGAGCTGTGAAGGCACCTCCCCGGCATCACAAGGCACCTCTGCTCTGTGGTCATGGCCATCACAGTGGTTTCAACAGACATCTCCATTGCATCTTTGTGTATGTGCAGACTGTCTTAGCCTTTGAGAAGTGGGTGCACATGTTGACAGTCCAGCAGTGGCAATGCTTTCACTCCTTGCATCTCCTCCAGAATTTGCTTGGGAGTTCCTTACAAAAAATAAAACACAAGCTTAAGAAAGCCCAGCCAAGCTAAGGACTTCAAAAGATGACCCAATAAAGCTGTTTCAGTCAATAACAACACAAATTTCTCAGTAACTGTTTTCAGTTGTTTTAAGTGGTGCTGTAATTTATGCCAAGTACACTGAGATGTATGTCACTCTTAGGGGGTATCCTATCCCTCTCCATCAGTGACTGACCCTACGCTCACGGCAGAAGCGCTGGATCAGACCATCGCTGCATTCGACACAGTGGAAGATCTGCTCAAACACTTTAACCCAGAATCCTGGCAAGAAGATCTTGAAAATTTGTACACAGACAGTGGTCACCATTACCGAGGCAGGAGCTACCATGACAGGAAGTCCAAAGGTAAGAAAAGACACTATGTATATACTTTGGGGCAAGACCAGGATATTCCTTGTAGAAATGTCCATTGGTCAGATATTAGATTCTGGTGTCTCTCTTCCTGTTGGAGTCGCAAGGCAAGGTACCACCTATTAAAACCAGTGATTTAACCCTTAATCATTTTCTGACTGAGTAGGATCTGGCCTGAGAACTGCCCATCTTATGATGTATTCACAAATAAAAAACATAGGCCCATGTGTAAAGCACAGATGGTTCTCAGCTTCACCTTCTTAAGCATTGCTTTGTGTGTAAGGCATGGGGCTCCTAATTACCTGCACTATCATCCTCCTTTAAATACCCTGCTTAGGGATTGTTCTCTGTTGAGTGAGAAATAATCACTTTTATCACATTGTGCTTAGGGAAGCATCTGGTGCAGACACCTGTATGTGCAGCTGTTTTTTTAGGATATGAACATCTCACTGTTTTTCATTATGTTGGAGGGGAACATTATTATGGTTTAACATCTTTGTCTGTAACCAAGCAAAGCACACATTTCTGGATTATGTTTCTTGTTTCCTTCTGTTAGTTCAAACCATCTGCCAAATGGTAAAGCAAAGCTAGAAGTACAAACCCATAATGATAAAGAAACACTATTTAGAAGAGACAGTCGTGTTCTGAGGCAACCAGGCACAGAAGGGCCCAAGGAAATTGCCTTTATGTACAAGTACAGATCTAGGAGGCGTGTTAGGGTTCTTCAGGATGACAACTCCTGCAGTTTTCACAGAAGGTCTGGAGTGAAATATCTTGAGTTCTCTTGTTAATATTGTCTTCCATTTCCAAGCAATGTATTCATATGTATTCTTCTTTATAACTTTAAGTTATAATGCCCAACTCATAGTTCTGATTCTGTGCAATCTACCACTTATTTACATCTCAAATCCCAACCTCCCTACATTAAGCATGTTCTAAGCAGGGACAGAGGATTTTAATTCCATGTTTGTAACTTACTTGATATCAGATGATGAGGCTTTAATACTAAAACGGATATATAGGCTTCATCTGTATTAGGGAAAATAGTGTCAAGGTGTGTTCCAAGGCCCTGACATGTTGCTAAATTGGCATCTTGGTCTCTGCGTAATTATTGATCTGGTCCAAGTGTCATTGTCCCACGTCATTGCTGGGCATGAAACAGGAGCTGACGGAGTCCAGCTGCCATTCTTGGTGGGTACTTTACACATGGCCACCTTGTCTTGGAGAGTAAGAAGTAGATGGCAGGAATGAGGGTTGTCCCTTGGCTGTTGACCTTTGGGCAGGAGAATGACCTCAAGCACATCCAGTGTATTAGTAGATGCGCAGTGCCAACTCAGTGTACAGTTTCCAAGACATGTTGGCCATCTCTGGTTTTGGGCTTAGCACTTCAAAGGAATCTGCAATAAAGCCCTGAGCACCCATCCAGTGAAAACTAAACCCCTTTACTTTGTTCCCTTTTGACACATTAGAAATTTCAGGCAGCCACAACAGCCCACGTCCCCCGAAAAAATGTCACCTAACTACCACTGCATCACTTCTGAGATCAGTTTGATCTCATTTAGGGGCCTGTGAAACATGATCTGTGTGTCCCTTATTTTCAGGCTGGATTTGCTACCAATAGACCTGTATACAGAAGAAATAAAGGGTGTATTTTGATTTTAATAGAAGCTGATTAGAAGCCTGGATCCTGTACTGGTTCTGCTCTCCCGATTTCATTTGATTCTCAGATCGTACTTGGTTTAGTACCCCGTGTACTTAAATGACCATACATGTATATAAAAGAATATTTACTGCTTTATTGATGCTGATTGTGTAGGCTGGAGCTATCAATCTGATCTGGTAGTGCTTGGAAAATTCAGATGCATGAAGATTTCTCCATTTAATATAAATATATTTCAGATTCTTGCATAACAAAATGCTGTAAAAACCATAAAGATTTTCCCAGTTATTATTTTAACACTTGATTTCTTTTAATATATTTTTTGTTGTTTTGGTTAAAAGAATAAGAAAAAAAGTTTAATAACAGTTTTTCTTTTGTCTTCAAACTAAAGGCAAAATTCTCTGTTAGCAGCCCTCTAGACCTCACCAAAAGCACCGCACCAAAACCAAATCCTTAAAAAATTTCAGTTAAGTATTTTTATTTAGTCATAAACTTCTGACAAGATTAAAGGCTTGTTCTTGGAGTATGTTAAGAGCAGGGAATAGATTTAACAAGTCCTTAAATTAGAAATGCTTGGTGGATTTTAAACATAGATACTGTGGATCTCTGAGAAATGTTTATAGGCACTGGCATAACCTTGCAGCAAAGAGAGCAGTAGTTTATATCTCATTTATTTCAGATATCTATCTGTTTCTGATTCCAGCTTGGGTTTTATTTTTTATCCTTAGTTAGAACAGCCCTGAGGCAGATAAGAACAATTTGATGTAATCTCTGCTTATCTTTCACAGCATTTTCAGAACATGTCATAGAAATAGTATAAATGAATCACTAATGATTTCACTTCTCTCCAACTCCCTGCCCATACCAAATTGTGCCACAAAATTGAGCTTAAGAGATGGTGTTGCTGAATACCAATTCTGATAACAGTGATATGTGATAAATTATATTTAAATGGGATGTTTTCTTAACTTGGCAATCAATCTACAAAGATAAGGATCAGGGTAAAGAAAATAAGTCGAGTATTTTAGCATAGCTGAAACTCACAGAATCACAGAATCACAGAATCA